AGCAGAACCAGGTCTTCAAGGCCCTTCGGAAGGCCAGGAGTGTGGGGGCTAATCGCACCTCCGGGGGCAGAATGTTCCAAAGAGCTGGGGCTACCACAGAGAAGGCCCATTCTAGTTCCTACTAGTTCCTAATAGTTCCTACTAGTTCCCTCTAGTGTCCAACCTACAAAGTCCCTTCAATTCATTTTTTTTTTTTTTTTTAAGAATTCAGAACAAAACCATCTCCCCATGGGAAGGATTCTTATAACTATTTTGAAAATCTTATTTGAAACTCATCTGGATTCTTAGTCTGCTTGTAACTTTCCTCACAAGGAGCAAATCAAATTTTCAGTTTCCTCACAAGGAGCAACTCTCTGGAGCATTAGTGGGTAATATCAGGTCCTCTCCTTGTCTGGAGAGGAATTAAGAAGAGCTGGTCTCCTTGCCAGTTCTTCATTCCACAGCATCTTCAGTGGAAGATCAAAGTCTTAGAAAAATGTGTTAGATGGGGAAAGAACGATTGGATGGGGATCAATTCCTGCAACAGCACTTCATTGTTAAATTAAGGATCTGGAATGTCAGAACATGGAGCAAAACAAAAGAATATAAAGTTGATTTGTTTGATCAGAGTTAAAATAAGAAATATTTGTGTAAAGTTCTGGAAACCCTTTATGGAGTTTGTGCTGACATTGGCAGAAATGTTTATAATTTTTGGATTTGTGGATGAATAAGGATTGGAATATGGGAACAAGTGAAATATACAATGTAAATTTAAGGGAGGTGGAGAGACATCAGGTTTGCTTGTACCTGATGTAAAGAAGATTGGGAGTCACTTCTTTACTTATTCTTTTTCTTTCTTTCTTTCCTCTTTCTTTTCTCTTCCATTTTTTCTCTGTATTTTTTCTTTCTTTCTTTCCTATTTTTCTTTTCTTTTACCTTTTAGTTTGTATTATCTTTTATTGTTTTTGCATCTTCAATAAAAAAGTATTGATAAAAAAGAACAAACACATCTGTGGTTTATAGGTTGTGACCAGCAGCATGAATCACACCTGGAATCAAGCTGGCACACCAGTGCAGCCTCTGAAGCAGAGATAACACCTAGGTGTACAGAGGCAAGCCAATCACTGTAGGCACCGCTGCATTTTGGACCAATTGAAGCTTCTCGTGGTGTTCAAGGGCAGCCCCACATACATCATGGTGCAGTAGTCTATATCAGATTCAGCCTAGCACACACTGCAGCGAAGAGCTGTTGGTCAGTTTCATGGTCTCAGGCGAAAGGTAATCAGGGCAAGTAAGCAATGAAACCACAGGTTGACTACTGGCACGGGGTGGGCAATTAGAAGTGGCAACACAGCAGCCGGCTTGCCAGGCACCCCAGGCAACTCTGGCTTACAATATGCCAGAAACACACCAATCAGTGGGCAATCAAACCCAGATAAAAACAACCACCATAAGAAAAGCCCCAGGAAAGCAAGGGCAAGACAGACAAAGGAAGATTATACACAATCGAAACCAGCTGAATCTGCCATCAAGGCGAGGGGAAGGAAGATCTCCACGAACAGATGGGCAGCCCAGGGCAAGGGCAAGGGGTGGAATTGAGGGGTAACTGCGGGTCAAGGGGGGAACCCTAAATGACTGTAAGGAGCCTCACCAAGCCAATCCTGGCTTTGTCTGTAACCGCTATGCGTTGCGCCTGAATAAACTCTCTTTCGTCTGAGCCTGTGCCTCGTGAGGGTCTGTTCAGCGCCGAATGCAGAAAACCTTACAGTCTAGTCATGAAATGACCAAGGCATAAGTGACTTGCCCTGAGTTTAAGGGGAAAAAACAGGAAGCCAGCACCCACAAAAAATAAAACTAGTCATAGACTAACTCTTTCAAACTGATTTTCTATCAGGAAAAGAACAAACAAACAAAAAAACAGCAGCTTTGGATTCCTCACTAGACCTTCTAAATCCTCTGGATCCTTCGTTTTTTCTTGGTTTCACTTCCCTTCCCAGAACAAAAGACTCCTTGGGGAATTAGTAAACTCCATCTCTTCCTCATCACTTACACCAGGGGGCATTACACTCACATTTGGCCATGGGGGGGGGGGCGGGGGGGGGGGGAGAGGATAAAAAGAAAATATGTTGTCTTTTTCCGGGGGGTGGTGATT